CTCGGACATTTTTAGTTCAAAAGATAGCAAGCGGACATCATAAAATGAGAGGGCTAGGAAGAAAACTAGAATATGGCTGTATTTACTACATAACACTGAGTCCACCGAGGCATCAACCAGGTCCTCAGACTTTGCTTTCATTAGGTTTTTGTAGTTAACCATATTTTTAAAAAATCCGAGAACCAACAAATCAAATTGGTGTGGCCTTAGCTTAGATTATTGCTAACAAAGGTATTCAGAAACACAGACAAACATGCAACATCATTATGGTAGTAAGTACAAAATGTAACAACAGAATACCTGGATTCGAAAAGACTTGGACCTCGCACAGGTTCATGGCTCGGGACTGAGAACCAGTCAGACGAATGCCGACATACCGTCCCAACATCTTCTGGCATGAGATGGAAATAGATGGCTCGCTGAGGTCAATTTGATGGTCGCCTCCACACTTGGGGTTCGCAGTAACCTGGCTAGAACCCCCGATGTGGATGTTGAAGGGATTGAGTCGTTCTGAACAACACGAGTCTATGCGGTTGAAGATGACCACCCTGACAACAGACACAGATGACAAGGCAGTAAAAATACAGTCTTGTACATTTCAGAGTCTTTGATGTGAAATTAGGACTTTTCCAACACCAGAATTAGAACTGATGAGCTTGTGTAGTGAATGTTAATGTTTCAAACACGCACACACACACACACACACACACACAGTGTCACACACACTCAACACACACACACTGTCACACACACACACAAACACACACAAGTAGGACAAGATCAAGAAAAAAACTCAATGCCCTGCACCTACCTGATAACAGGATATGATTGTCCAAGATCCACCCACCAGGCAGGATTGTCCTCTCCATCTGTGTGGGTGCAGGAATTTTCGATGAAGTTGCCGTTGGTGTTCCCGTCTACTGCAAGACGGGCTTCCCCAGTCAGCTGCAGGCCCATAGAGGGTACATGGTAACCCACTGTGGTTGTTTGGAACGCCGTCTTACCCAGAGCAACATTTACACCTGCCCAAGGAAAAATGCTGTCATTTATAGTTTCACACATAATGTTTAACTCATAATGTTTGGTTTCTGAAATATACACATATTATATAGAATGAATGAATTTTTATTCACGTGTCTTGCAACTTTTGTCGCCCAGCCCATATGGGCTTGTAAGACACCAGAACATAAACATGAACATAAACATAGGTACGGAAACAAAACAAACAAAAAATCCAAGTCCGAGTCAAAAGTTCAGACTGGAAACATCAAATAGAAGTAACCACCTAGCAATGCACAGAATGCTATGGAGATTCGGCCTTACCGGGTGATGTCGTTGGTGTTGGAACAAACGGGACCTCCGGAAGACCAGTCTCTGCCAAGTTGTTCAAAGTCTCAGTAGTGCGGGCCACTTTTAGGTTGACCGCATCAACCTTTGTTTTCAACCTCTCAATCCTGTCTGAAGAATTACAGAACGATGAACTTGTTAGAAATGCCTCAGAATCATCTATATTCTGTTCTAATCGTAATATCTAAATACATATCTTTTTATTGGATTGTGGGTCAATTGCTTTATTGATTTTTATTGATGATCAGAGCCACAGAACAGTCTACGTTTTATACATAGTCACATGTTGATGAACATGCAGTATTACAGTTACTCTACTTCGTATACACATGATATGCATGATTAAGTCACACATAGGGACCAGCCAGGTTTGCTGCACATATACCGGGTAGTAGTTGGTCCATGTGAATTTTTCTTGTTGTTCCTTCACTTATAGTGGGCTACCTTTGATTGAAAATAGAGCTTAAGGTTAACACAAAATATGGTACAGTTACTAGTATACTGGAAAGTTACTTTCAACTTCTACTTCATTTGACAACCTATAACACGCACATGATTTAGTTATAATAAGTCTTTGGGGCTTAGAATATGCTTGAAATTGTGCCAGCTTGAAATGAACACTTTGTGCTACAGTACTAGCGGGCATAGAGAGAAAAGTTGTAGAATTAAGTACTTACTTGTAATCTGCTCAGCTTGTTGACCTGTTAAGATGGAATCTCCCATCTCCAACCACAGAACGAAAACCAACAACATCAGTGTCGCTTTAAACCGTTTCTCCCCAGCCATCCTGGATTATTTGAGGAACTCAAAATTTCCCTTTTTGGCAAGAAAATCTGCGTTAATGCTTGAACCAAGCTTGCGTTGATAGCGTGACGTTCCCGGTCTATCTGGACAAGCTCAAACGCAATTCTTCTTTTAAAGTCGTTGGTCTGCCATTGTCTACGATATTTGTAAAGTTGGGATGGGAACGGTAAACTGAATCATTGTGTGTATTGTGCACTGTTCTTGGCAGTAAGCTGTTAAAATGGTGTAGATTAAGTTAAATAAAGATACAAGGTCTTAGCCAGACTTAATGGTTTAAACAACGAAGTTATCAGTTGAGAATGACGAGTGTCAATGTAGAGAAGGAAGGAACCAGGACCTCGCACAGTCATATCATCTCTAAATCCCCTGACACGAGATTGAAAAACATGGCTTATTTATGGTGATTTGATGGTCACTTTTTCACTAGGGTTCAAGTAGTCTCTACCAGACTCTTTTGCAGGCTGAACTAAGATAAGAAATCGGTAATTGGCCAAAGGAGTTAGCCAGCCATACAGCCATACTCCGTACAGGCAAATTGAACCCTCTATGGTTGGCTGACTCCTTTGACCATTTACATCCCTTTTAGTTTTACAAAAGGTAGGTTAGTTTCTACTACTATGTATTTAGCCTGCAAAGGAGTCTTATAGAGACTATGGTTTAAGGTCTCCTTTGACGGGAAAGGGCAGAGAGACTTTATCTAGTCTAGACGAGCAAAAACTGCACAATTCTTCTTTTAAAGATGTTAGTCTGGCATTGTTTACAAGTTTTGGCAGCTTTTAAGACCAGTGAGAAGCAGAAAAATCTCTCTACACTTAGAACGGCAAACTCAATAATCTGTGCATTGCTTGCTAACATAACTGTTAAAATGGTGTAAATTAAGTTAAGCTCTTAGCTAGACATCATTATTTAAACAAGTTATTAGTTGTAGAGATCTTGATGTTTGAGAAAATCTACACGTAGAAATCTTTTGACTGTTAACTAAAAGGGTTAGGGCAATTACTTTGAAGGCCTGATTAGCTTATCTTGCACCTCTTTGCACATCAGTGTAGCTTTTGTATGACTACAAAATTGTGGCTAAAGGAAAATGCCAAAGAAATCCTTCCCTATGAAGTGGTAATCAAGTTCCAACTACCTTACATGCACGTTCACAGTGACTAAAGTCCAGTTTTGTATGGCTAAGTAGATAAACGTACATAGTGCGAGTATTTTTCACTGTAAATGTACATCGCTGTTTCCTAACACACATAACGAGTTTGACAAAAAAAGTTTCAAACAAAAAAGAAAAGTTGCCTTCACCATATAACCTAATGTGGTCATGAAGGTTGAAGAAATGATTTAACACAGAGAATGGTATGGTAAGGCCACACCAATTTAATTTGTTGGTTCTCGGATTTTTTCAGAAAAAATATGAAGCGACAGGGCGAAAAAAAATAAAAATAAAAACAGGTCTAGGCATCCTATTATAGGCTTAAATGCTACAAAATGAGCCATGAAGTCAACACAAAAGGCTGGGTTAAAATTTAAACATTGACTTTTGAACTTTTAATCAAACCACTGCAATGATAGATGGGAAAGCTGTAACAACTAGGAAGAAAAGGACTTTCCTCAACTGTTGGGGGCAAAACATGAGCATTTTTCAGTTGATTCAGGACCAGAATCAAATTTTTTTTTTTGCAAATCAGAAAAAAACGAAGAGGCGAATCCGAGAACCAACAAATTAAATTGGTGTGGCCTAAATAATAGACTCTTCATTGGATTAGACATACAAGAAAAACATTGCCAACAGTGAATATAATTATAGTTTTATTTATTTTTGAAAAATTAAAGTTTCATCCACCTATAATATCTCTTTAATTTACGTATACTTTTTTGTTCAATTACTAATCATTCTTTTTACTACATTACCTGAAATTTCATATATTGTATATGAATATGTCTAGTTATATTGCTCTATAACATTTCAATATCATTCAAATTTTTAATAGTAATTATGCAAATCAAATGATACTATATTCAAAGTTTTACGTATACTTACTTCTCCAGGCTTATGTTGTATGAATTATATCACATTCACAATTTATACATTGATATGGCTACTCTTGTTAGAAAGAAATTTATTTTCAGCTATATAAGACAGTACCACACTGGAATAATTTATGAATATATAATGCAAAGAATAATGTCAATATATACTAATATCCCATAATTTGAATCTATAATATGTATGTTATATATTCTCAATATATATTTTTTAATGCTTTCTTTCCCTGAACAAGTTAAAACATTAGATACATTGTACACCCTGCCATGTTTAACACTTTCAGAATGATTTATAAACATGCAACAAAGATTATTCTTATCTCATGCCTATTGAAACACATAACATTTTACGTGACTGTAAGGATAACTTTTTATGAGTTTCCATTAGAGCTGTGTACCGATACTCAGTACCGATACTGTACCGGAAAAATTGATTAGGTACAGGTCCAAAATACCTAATCCCTCCGTACCGGTACTGTACCTAAACAATTTCACACCAATTTTATGCCTATTTGTGACCTTAAATGTGGAAATAGCTGGTCGCCAATGGGTTCCAATGTAAGGACAGTGTGTTCATGAAAACAATAATACCTTACTTTTGCCTATATTTTATCTGAGCATTCTCCATAAACCAAAATTAAACCTTAACTATCAAGTGTATACATGTTTTTGTTGCTATTGAAAGAGTTCAGAAGAGCATGTAAATTGGTCGAATTTTTTAGGTACAGGTTCAGGTCCGGACCTGTACCTAAACCTGTGTACCTGTACCTGTACCTAAAATTTGTTTAGGTACACAGCTCTAGTTTCCATAGATAATCCAATTCTTTACCTTATGCACCAAAATTTCCCAGAGACCAACTTAAAGATTTATGCGTACTACAGGACTCAAAAATGTTTTCTGGTCATCTCAATTTTTTTGAGCGCTGAAGTCTTATAATTAGGGGGTCAAATCTTGACCCTCTGAAATGCTATTTTCTGCATTTTGCAGGGCAAACTTTGACTAATCTTGAGTTTAATGACATGGCTTTCTATGTCTTAACGTGCCAATTTAGTCTGTCAAACTCAAAGACATGACATATTTGTCACACGGCTGCATAATTCCATCAAATATTGGAAAAACTAACTAGAAAACTGGTCATATATGTAGTGTGTTGAGGAAAAATTCCAAGGAAAGCCCACAGAAGAAACAAATATCACGAGGACGAAAAAAAAATACAACATCCCTCCCTGTTCACCCTAGAGCAGTTTTTTCTTACCGCCATGCTGGCCTTTGACCCGGAAGTACTACTCTACAATCTGGAAGCAGTCGATGACTGACTTCCTGCAGTAAGACATGAAGATGGTTTCTGCCTTCCTCAGGATGTGGGCCAAGTCCATCTTCCCTGACAACCTAAGGAAACAACACAGACATGAGTGGCTGTTGGGTGATCCAACTCGCGGGAGGGCTGGGAACTGAGGGTGATGTGGAATACGCCGTGTTGTATTTTATCTATGTCATTTCCACCCTTTCAATGTAAAAATTTGATGCCCCTAAACCAAAAAATGCAACAATATCAATTCCAATGTCCAAATCCTGTATTCAAATTTTTGAAGCAGTGCAAGCAGTTAGGGCAAAATGCATTTAAATTATTCTATGGAAGCCATGGAAGCACGGGCCGTACCGTAAAGTACGGCCCAGCCTGGAACACTGTTATCAAAGGTTATCATAGTTGAACAAGTACATTATCAGTTGCTATTCTGAAGGAAAATCATTTAAGTTGCAAAATAGAAAACTTAAAGGCAATCAAGGTAATTAGAGATAGCAGACTCCATCCCCAAGTCAAGCTTTAGCACCTTCTGACAGAATAATTGTACAGAAACTGCAGACACAAAGAGCGATACAAAATAATAATACTTCACTCCCTTGTGGATGAAGTGCATTTGCAGCCAGAAAAGAAGAACAAACTTTAACTGACCCACTGACAGTTTGGAAGATCTCGGTGCCATCTCTACAGTTGAGCAGCTGTTGTCTGATGTTCTGCAGCATGGCCACACACACAAACAGCTCAAACGTGTATTCTGTGTTCAACGGAGCACCAACAACGCGGTTCTGTCCACCTACGTTTGTGGGGAAACACATAAAACTTAAGCTACATTATCTAGGATGGTAAATTATAGTTCAGGGTGGTGGATGGCTCTTCAGTACTAAGGCTGGGGAGGGTACAGTATAGTACAGGGTGGGGATGGGCTCTTCAGCACCAAGGCTGGGGACAGTACAGTATAGTACAGGGTGGGAGAAAGCTCTTCAGTACTAAGGCTGGGATAGTACAGTATAGTTCAGGGTGGGGGAAGGCTCTTCAGTACTTAGGCTGGGGAGGGCACAGTATAGTACATGGTGGGGGATGGCTCTTCAGTACTAAGGCTGGGGAGGGTACAGTATAGTACATGGTGGGGGAAGGCCCTTCAGTACTAAGGCTGGGGATAGTACAGTATAGTACAGGGAGGGAGAAGGCTCTTCAGTACTAAGGCTGGGGAGGGTACAGTATAGTACAGGCTGGGGAAGGTTCTTCAGCACTAAAGCTGGGGAGGGTACAGTACAACCCACCCTGGCAGGTCAGTATAGTACATGGTGGGGGATGGCTCTTCAGCACTAAGGCTGGGGAGGGTACAGTATAGTACAGGGTGGGGGAGGGCTCTTCAGTACTAAGGCTGGGGAGGGTACAGTGTGGTACAGGGTGGGGGATGGCTCTTCAGTACTAAGGCTGGGGAGGGTACAGCATACATAGAGTATAGGCTGGGGAAGGTTCTTCAGTACTAAAGTTGGGGAGGGTACAGTATAGTACAGAGTGGGGGAAGGCTCTTCAGCACTAAGGCTGGGGAGGGTACAGTATGGTACAGGGTGGGGTAAAGCTCTTCAGTTCTAAGGCTGGGGATAATACATTATAGTACAGAGTAGGGGAAGGTTCTTCATTCCTAAGGCTGGGGAGGGTACAGTATCATACAGGGGAAGGCTCTTCAGTACTGGGTAGTACTAATGCTAGGGAAGGTACAGTAAAGTATTCTAAACTGTGAAAAGTAGACCTTCACGAAGGAAGTCGCGTGCCCTCTCCTGGTCTCGAACTCTCTCCACATCTAGAGAGGACAGCTCCATGTGGTGACTGCTGATGATCTCGAACAGACGCAGAGCCTCCTCAAACGGAAACTCCCTCTTAAATCCTAACAAAAGCCACCTGGAAAGACAATAAAATCATACTAAACAAGAAGAACTCTAATATTTCATACCTCTAGCTTTATATAGGTTTGTTTTTCTATCATGTGCCAATGTAAACAATAGCCTGGATTGTAACACTCCTGGCTAATCATTGGTTTACAGCAAGGTTGCAAAGTTCTAGCTACCTGCAGAAGTCCTGGTAGTGGAAAAGTATAGTATTTAGAAAGTTTTTACGAATCGGATATATTTGCTCACCCACTGTGAGTTACAGCTGTGAACACAAAAATATGGACCAAATATAAAACACTTCTGGAGAAGGATGTCTCCTTTCCTGGAGGTAATGAGGTATGTTTCTAACACAAGAAAAAGTCTCCACTCCTAAATCTTTGCCAAAGAATGTTGTAAATTTCCTTCTTACCAAAGGTGACAAAATGTGCTACCTACATCAGGCTTCATCAACAATTAGCTCTCCCATTAACACTTTACAACTAAGGAAACATCTGAACAAAACTGAGTAAAGAGACTCTTTTTACACAACCAAGTCTTTTATTCACCCGACGTTTCGGTGACCATCTGTCACCTTCCTCGGGGCACCTTCAAATGTCGGCTGAATAAAAGACTTGGTTGTGTAAAAATAGTCTCTTTACTCAGTGTCTTACCAACCTGATGAAACTATTCACAGATGTTACCAAAACAATCGGCTAACTTTTACCTGTGACAGAATGTCATGTCTCCCACGTCACAGTTTTCCAAGTGGTTGAACAGTACAGTGTCCAGTTCCTTTAGCAGTTGCCTCACCAAATCTAGGATTTAAAAACAACAGAGTACATATAAGTCCAGTGTTCAAAATACACTGCACTCTTGCTCCATACTCAAACACATTCATTTATATGGTGAACATCCCCAACTCTGTCCTGCAACTTGTTACATAATGTAAATGAACACCACAGGGTGTCTGCTACAGCACCAGTTACCATGGTGAGAGACATATGGTCAAAGTCATTGACAGACTTTACTTGTTTGGAACAGAAAAAGAAGAAGGAACAGAGCAAAAACAATATGTTTTGCTTTTGTGAAGGTAAAAATAATAATGTGTGTCTAGCCTAGAACGTCGGCAGAACGTACTTCACCTGCGCGAAACCCGTAATGTGTTGTACATAGAAGTTCGGCAGAATGTCTCATATAAGGTTGTATTCGCTCATATAAGGTTAGCATTTCGACAGTAGTTTCCAAATGTTGTGTCGGAAAGAATATCCTCTGCAACAGGCAAAATTATGATGCAACGTTGACCAAAAACCCAACGAAAAATGCGTAAATACGGGGTTCTGCGCAGGCGCAGTACATTCTGTCGACGTGCTCTTTTTGTCTATGTCTAGCCTTACTGAGCTTCCTGAGCATGCCCTCCTCCATGAAGTCGGTCTGTATGGTCTCCATGTAACTGGAGAAGCACCAGAACGCTGCCACCTCCGAGTCCAGAACAACCAGGAACCGGCTCAGGATGTCGTTCATTCCCTGGGCGTAACCCACCTCTGCAAAAAGACAAAAGTGAAGTCTTTTTTTATTCCCTATTTCATGTGAATTCTTTTGTAAGGCTTTTCAGCATCTGATTCTTTTCATGTATGATTTGCTTCATGTGTTAAAGAGTTTGAAAAAAGTGGAAAATAAAATATATTAGATCTAGAGATGTCCCTATTGTGCATTTAGACGGTGGTAAAATGCATGTATACATTTTTACTTTTCCTCAGTGCCATTGAAGAAAGGTAGTGGATACTACCTACAACGTCTAACCGTTTCCAAAATCATATCCACTTGCTTGAGTAACTGTTTTTTTTTGCTTATCTTATTACCTGGATGTCTGACCTTCATCGACAAACAAGACTTCTGTATATTGTACCTATTGTGCATTTATTAAAAAGTACATGACTTTTGCATATCTGTCCACAAATGTCATTACAATTGAATGTTTCTGTTGAAAATGACACCATCACTATTGTATTTATCTAGTTCAGTATCACGAAAGGCTTAAGCTTACTTGGATGAAAGGCAGCAAAGGTGATGAGGATATTCCTGAGTATGGACAGGTGAGGGTTGCCACTGCCCCTGGAATGCAGAAATATACACTGTTACATAGCAAGCCTTTTCATTTCATTCATTTTTTCATTTATTTATTTTACCAGCAGAATACACTCAGGTTACAGTAAAAAACCTGTTTTTCAGGTAGTGCTGGGCATACAAGTACAAATACTGACAAACATTATACATTACAAGAAACAGACATAATCCAAAATGACATACAGTATAACAAAGGAACTCATTCATTTTCCACTATACATTCATAACATCACAATCCCTGACTGAATTGTACCAGCCCCACTGTCTGACGTTGCTTAAGTGACAAGTTATTCCACAGTTGGGGGCCGTAGAATCTTAAGCTCCCCTTGTAGCCGTTCAAACTTGCTACAGGGCAGTTCAACAGATAAGGGTCCCAGTCCGCAAACAGTTTGACAGCCGTGCGAGTGCGAGCTCTTATGATCGGTGGAGACTTCCACCTGAACATGTCAGAGATGTACAATGGAGCTTTACCTCGCACAGCATTGAAAACTGAAACAAGACTGAGTTTTTCTGTTCGATGTCTCAGAGACACCTTTTCCCGCAGTACCAAATAGTCCTGCATGGTGGCTCTGCTGCACAGCAAATTGAAACTCTGCTGCACAACAAACTTACTTGAAATATTCATGGCCTCTGTCCGTTCTGGGCACATCCTTGTCTATTATTCTCACAGCTTTTCGAATATCCTTCATGTTAATGGGTTGTCTGCCTGCAAAAACCTGTAAAAAAACAAACAAAACACAATGAGTTTTGCTTGTAAAAATACATGTTATCCTGACTTGACAATTGTATACTTCTAGTATAATGGAGTCTCTTAAAGGGGACTGGGCAAGAAATACCTCATAGCCATTACATTACAAGCAGGCTACCCAGTACCCCTTTAGAGTCTTTGTTTGCACTTTTCGCTACTTGTAGTTTGTTTTGTACCTACATGTAATATCTAATTGAATGTGAAATGTTAGATACATATTAATAATGTTCGTAACAACCTGTGCTTGTATTTCCAGGAACTGTAGCTGTTGCTGGGTCTCAGTACTGATGTTTGTAGTGTCCATGGCTGGTACCTTCATGTCTGCATCATCTGTTCAAACATTGGTGAGAGACAAACATGATTATCACACATGATACAAACTGTATACACATATTTTCACCTTCTTTTCATTTCTTGTTTTGCTAGACATCACAAGGGAAAATGTAAGGGTCATCCAAGTATGGACCAGATTCATTATAATTGCTGCATGTACATTGCATATCTACACACAATACATTTTTTTATCTGACACAATCACATTGTACAACAGTATCAATATGTGTATTCTATGCAAGACAGATCTTCCATCTTACATGATTTTGTATTTATCTTCTTTTAATTTCTTAGTTTGTTGCCATGAGGGAAATGTAAGGGTCATCCTAGTAATAGTAGTATGGACTGGATTCGATATTGCTGCATGTACATTGTACATCTACATGTCTTCTACTAGAAATACCTTTATATCAAAAGATGTTTATTTACCTGTAAAAGACTCCACTTTGAGGTCAAGGTCATCATCCAGGTACTCAGCTGACACGCCCTGCTCCTGCTCTGTCTTTCCCAGGCTGCTCATCTGGAGGGAAGGAAGGAAGGAATGAACAGGTGTGTGGATGGATGGATGGATGGATGGATGTATAGAGGGATGGATGGATGGATGGATGGATGGATGGATGGATGGATGGATGGATGGATGGATGGATGGATGGATGGATGGATGGATGGGTGGGTGGGTGGGTGTTTGTGTGGATGGATGGATGGATGGATGCATGCATGGATGGATGGATGTGTGCATGTATGCATGGACAGATGAAATAGATGCTTGATCTATTTATTTTAATCTGCTAAAATGATGATCAGTTCTTCAATACATTTAGTCTATACAGGCTTACACCACAGTGAAGAACATAATGTAGAGTAAGTTTAAACCCGCCTCTGTTACCTTAAAAACCACTAAATATCCACCCACAAACTATGAGTAAGAGTAGATGCCCTTACAGTGAGGAGTGTTTTCCACCTGGCCTTGAGTTGATGGTACTTGAAGTGGTGTTCTGCAGACATGACCTCCCGTTCTCGTGCCGTGGAGAGGAACGGGTACAGTCCAAACATGAACTGCCAGGTGTCCTTCCTAACTGTGGGGTCAACTCCTCCTGGAGAATATTACAGGACTGATCTGTCACAGAGTTCTGTTATACTGTTATTGCTATACAGGATACTGTAAATCCCTTTATGTTTGTGAAAGCAAAAGTTCACAGTCTGGGAAAACATGGACATGTTTGGGTCAACTCCTCCTGTGGAATAGTATTACAAGACAGAGTTTTACAGTGAGTGTTATTACTATACTGTAATTCAGTTATGTTCGCAGTACTAAATTAGCAAAAGTTCACAATCTGAGAAAAATGGACATGCTCAGGGAACAATACGTTTGGCGGTAGGTGCAGAAAAAGAAAGCCGGCAAATTATCTTTCATGGTAATGATAAGTTCATGGTACGGTAGTGACCACAAAAACTGTGAATACAAAAGTACCACGAAAAAAATTGAAAAAAGGAAGATTTTACCATGAATGAACCTCAATGCTTGGTAGGAAAATAAAGTTTTTAAAGTTTTTAAGGTTTATTAATTTTTTTCTCTGGACAGTTCCAAATGAATATTTGTACAGTCTCTAAAATATTATTAAGTTTCTGTGACATACTATAATCTCTCAAAATGGAAGGATGCCTACTACTACTGACTACTGTAAGAAATAGATCATATTTAGGTTCTAATATCTGAATTTGATGATTTTTTGTTCAAAGACTCTACCTCTGAAGACAGCTTTCCTGAGGGCATGTTCATTCACAAGTCGACCATCAGGGTCCAACATGGACTGAAACGTAGGCTTGTCCAATGGTGGCTGGCAACACACACTCTGGGGTGGGCTCTGGGTCATACAGAAACAGAAATGTAACAACATATACGATTGGTTGTAGTACAACTTGCACAATCTCAAGCTTAAGCCTGTTTTGGTAACTTCTTTAATTTTGTCTTAGTTACTAGGCTGCAACATATACGTAAAATGTAAATATTTGTAAATAACTATTTTTTAAAGATTTCTTTTGCCTAAATTTGTATCTGTGACCATGCAGACATAATGTAAACCTTAAAACTTTGAAGCTAAATTCTCTTTAAATTTGTATCTTTTATCGTACAACATAAGTGCATATTTTCATAGTTTATTTGTACATTCAACTGACATTATTTTTCTGGCACACTGTTTGAATCATACTAATAGAAACACAGGTTAACGTTAGTTACCTCTTCCTCTTGAGGTAATTCCTCCTTCATGGCTCCAAGACTTGTCAGTCCCGGCGGGGTTTCCACCATTTCGTAAGAGGAGTCATAACTACACGACCTGGTCAGAACTGTGTCTTCTACGTCACTTCTAAACGCCATCCTTTCAAACATTTCACAAGAAAGACGTTTTCACAAAAGTCAGAGCTACGTCCAAGCTGTCACAGATATCCAAGTCGTCAGTTTTGCCTCAATGTTCGCACTTTTAACCTCCTCTTACGAGACTTTTATCTTAAATTCATGTTGCAAGGTACTTATTGGCACTGAAAAATGATGTAACAGTTATTTTGAATGGTTGTCACGCGGTGTTTAGCTCACAAATTACACCCAAACAAAGTCACTTCCGCCTTTTCTAACTCGTGGCGGCCATTTTGAACGTGACGTCACGCCAACTTCAAAGGTCAAAGGTCGTACGAATCCAAAATGGTGGGTATCCACGCTTTTTTGTTACCGTGCAGGTTTTTTGTTTGTTTTCGGGGTATTGTTGAGAGGGAATTGTGATATTTTTGTTCACATATGTGCTAGGCTTCACTCTGATGAATATGGCGTGTAAAGGGTTGTAGGGTTTCTGTCAGAAATGTCTGTTAAGCACACTTTTTCTCCGTTGTTAGGGAACCTGGTTTTGCCCCCCTCCCACCACATGTTGAAAACTATATGTTCAAAGGAGGTTTTAAAGCTCCTTGTTTTGTCCAAAGCGGTGTTCAGTTTTGTCAGTAACACTATTGAAGTATATGCTATGATGTATTATTATGTGCATACTACAGAAATTCTGATTTTTCTATTACAGTGTCTATAAATTTATTATACTAAGTACTGTAACGATTAACAGTTACAAACTTACATGAGTATTTATGGGGTATTGAAAATATTACAACTGTTATCATAAGATATGCAAGTTGTGTAGTAGTACTTAAGCCAGCCTATGGACGCATATACAGTTATGGTTGAAAAACTTTTGAATATCAGTAATGCAGAAGTGGGCCATTTTTGTTGCCATTCACTGTTTTGAATTAATACAATTATCATATGTGGAGGGGGTTGAGAAGTCTGCCATACCTGTCTGCCTTCAGAATGTTGGTACTAGTAATGCATTGTATGTGTATATTATTTGTATGTATTATATGTATGCATGTGTTCCTTATTTTCATATATGGGAAAATACCATTCATGCTCCAGTTACCCCGATCTGTATGCAAATTATTTATTATGATTGCTTTATTCCTCCAACTTTAATATACTGGTAACTTTTTGCTGTCAAGCTAAATCATTTAATAATATTGCCATTTGGTTTGTTTCATGTGTTGCATTCAGAGCTTTGAATTCTGACTACTAGCTTGTATGTTTTTAATTCTTAAACTTTAAACTTGTGTTTTAAGTTTTTGTTGGAAAATTCCTGCTTGCAGATAGGTATTTTTACACCGATTTGCATACAGATAATGCCATTTTTCCGTCTCCTCAGTGCTAGTGCTTTGTGACCTCTAGATCTGCTGAACGCTGACTCTTTGCATGTGCAAAACCCCTGCAATTGGTCTAACTTATTGACAGTTAATATTAACCATGAGTTCACAGGTTGGTCTGCATGATGTGTGCTTTTGCATGTTTTTTGTGGTGGGTTGCAGTGCAGTGAAAATGTCTTGTTTTACTTTTTTTAATACCTGGTGCAGCGTAGCTTAGATTTAGGTACATGTACTAAAATTATGCTTTTGTGTTTTGGATTTTTGTTCTTTTGTTTTTGTACTAGAACAATAATTATTAAGTCAGAAAGACAAGTTACTAAAGCTTATAAATGAAGCAAATATTATTTTTTTGTTTCTTATAACCCTGTTAACCATGTACATGTCTGTTTATTATTTCCAACAGTATAGCATCCTGTTCAAACAGGAGAATGGTAAGTACATTGTGATTATGTTTACACTTTTCACTGGTTAAGGAGTGGGTGAAGGGGACATGGGTATTGGCTTGGATTATTTAGTCCAAAGATTCAATACTAGTACAGGTCTATACCTAAAGGTAAACCTGAAGCTAATAAGGTATACCAGTAGGTACTAATAATATAATGATCAATTAGTTCCACTGGAGCATAATGCCTAGAATGTGATATACCAAGTTTCATCACAATACAAAAGCAGCAACTACTAGTAGTTCAAACTGTTGTCAATTAACACACACACACACAAACACACACACACACACAGTGTCACATACATGCCCACACAAACACATGAACACACACACAGCGTCACATAACTATGTTACATGCACACACACACACACACACACACACACAGAGCGTCACATTCATGCACACACACACACACACATACACACACACACACAATTGCACACACCATACAAAAAAATACCTCCTCATGAAGGTAATATTACAGAGTATATGATTTTGTTCTCAAGTTATACTTTCATGCGTTACTTCCCCAGCCCACGATGATGCCATCTGGAGCTGTGCGTGGGCGCGCTCGGAGACCGATGGCGTGGACAACATCGTCACAGGGTCTGTGGATGATAGCGTGAAGGTGTGGAAATGGTGGGTGTCAGATAATCACCAAGCAGATCTTTCGGTGGGGGAAGACAGTATCCAATTGGCCAGACTGTAACAATGTCTCACGTTACAGTCTGGCCAATTGGATACTGTCTTCCCCCCCGAAAGATCTGCTTGGAGATTAGGTTTCAGATAGCGTGAAGGTTTCAGAATCAGACCTCATCGATTTAAGCCTTTGGTCCTCGGATTTAAGAATAAGTAATTAAAAGTAATTTATGTTTGTGTTAATTTGAATTTTATTTACTTATTGATTGTGTTCCCGTGACACCCCCCCCCCCCCAACTGGACCTCTGGGAAGAGCGGCTAAGGCTGACAGGACATTTCCAGTATAAATAAGGGCTATTGATTGATTGATTGGCTGATTGATTGATTGATTGATTGATTGAAGAAAATTTATCTGAAGTGGGGGATCAAAACAAAAACACTGTCACTGGGGGATAATCTTTACCATAGTAATTACTAATATTCCCACAAGCCACCTGTTTTCATATGACTCCTTTATTCTTTATTACTATATACATGTACTTCTTACTTTTCTTCACACAGTACCAAACTTCTTACTTAGCGCCCACTGTGGCCTTTTAACTCCATGATTTCACTTAGTCAGCTAAAATCTTGTGTTGGGCAGGGTTGATGAGAAGTTGGAGCTAAGATGGACCCTTGAGGGACACCAGCTAGGTGTGGTGTCTGTGGACATGAACCAGGAAGGAACCAGTATCCTTACATGCACATACATGTGTATACATGTACATTCACATTAAGTTATCACCAATTGCAACTTCAGATAAATGCGTTACTATGAGTAATGTGTTGCTATGTCACATGTAACATACATTGTACATTGAATACTCTTTACTTAGATCTTTATTTTAAACATTAAGATTTGTGGATCTCAAAATGAAATCTTTGATATCATGAGAAATATCACAAGAAGCAGTTTCCCATAGTGTCTTATGTGATACACTGTATGTTGCAATCTCTTGCCCGAAGGCAAAGTAGAAATAACAAAACATGGTTAGCTAAATCTAGTTCTCTTGGGATTGGCTTCTTAAAATGTAGTGGAAGATATTGTCACATGCATGTACTCTGTATGCATCTTGCTTGTAATTGTAGGATCATCATTATCTACATTTTTTTATCAGATTCTGTCAATTTTATATGACCCTTGACCTTGTCACCAGTGGTTGCCTCCAGCTCTCTAGATGCCCATATAAGGTTATGGGATATTGAGACAGGGAAACAGATGAGGAGCATGGATGCTGGACCAGGTAATATATGCGCATATTAATTTAGTCATCTCTTTAAAAGCTCAAGTGATAGTGCTTGCATATTTCTAACGAAATTATGCCACACTGACATAATTTTATGGATGACATCCTTTGAAGACCCCCAAACTAGTGTGCATGGGCGAATGAAAAAAAAGTTCAGCCAAAAGTAAAAAGGTAAACCACAGGAATACAAAGCTGGTACTGTGAATTTGCGGTAGTACATAGCGACTTTTACGAAAAGCCAGCACTTGCTGGCCCTTTGCCGAATTTATGAATCTGCACTGCAAATTAAGTCAGTGCGGTCTTACAGGTTACGTGCATGTGCAGTATGTTCTACTGTTGTGCTAAAGACTGCTTTTCTATTATGCCCTGTAGTTTTAATCTCAAAGCCATGTGATATTTTTATATCATTGACTGACTGTGTGTTGATTGGTTGTAGTTTTTTTTTTTTTTTTAACGGTGTCGCTCAATGCAAGGCCATTGGCCACTTCTAGGCATAGAGCTAGCCTGTAACTGTACCAGCAACTCTTCTCCCTGAGTCAGAAACATCCTCACAAGTAGTGAGGACTAACTGACCCAATAGGAGAAGCAGGGGTTACGAGGCTGGTCGGGAAAATTCCCTACCCCTTTTTAGACCATAATGGTTTGTTCCACTTCCGCTCACGTGGGTTCTTTAACGTGCTTGAGGTGTGTCTCTTCTCAAACTTAGTTGATGCGTGGACTGTCGCCTTCTCCCCCGACTCACGGTTCATCGCGTCCGGCAGTCACGGCGGTAAGGTCAACATCTTCAACGTCGAGAACGGGAAGAAAGAAACATCGCTGGACACCAGGGGAAAATTCACTCTCAGCATTGCCTATGTATGTTTTCCAAACAACTATAAAAGGGGTGCTAGTGTAACAGAAATGAAAAGAAACAGTGGGGGTCGCTGGAAGACTGACGAAAAATGTCCGGACTATGCATGATGTACAAACTAATATTACAAACTGCTGGAAGTACTAATACCTAATACCAGCCCAGAAAAGAATGAGAAACAGTCATGCCTGAGTTATCAACCAAGAATTGGTTGATAAACCTGTATTTTCCAAGAACTATTGTAGAGTGGAAATTCGAAGCTGGTACGTTACACAGAAAACGCTTCGAGGATATGTGATTTTAAATTGTCCTTGTAATTATCAGTAATATTGTTGTCATCGAACAAGTACTAGTAAACAAACAGTGAAATGTGAAAAAGGCAATGAAAGTCTTTTTGTCGATTTGTTTCCAGAGTCCGGATGGGAAGTATGTTGCCTGTGGAGCTATTGACGGCATCATCAACATATTTGACATCACAACAGGGAAACTACTCCACACGTTAGAGGGTTTGTATTTCAAGCTTTCTGTGCTTTGGGTGAAACCATATTCATCACATATACATCCTTGTTTCAACTTTATATTGATTGCATCAACTCTACAGAAGTCAATCTAGCAGAGGGAACAAATGTAAAGATTAATGAATGTTTATCTGGACTGATTCTCAGTCAGTGATTAAGAAACCTGAGCTTCTACAGAATATATAAAATGTCCACAACCACTCCAGGAGGTGTCCCAATCAGCCCCTGACAGGGAGGGACTGAGTAACACAGGCTAGAAGTGGTGGAATTTTACAGGCTAGAAGTGGAGGATGTCTCTAAAAACAACATTAAAACATAGGGGTTTATCAGCATGGTGCCAATGACATGCCATTAAGGTGTTCACTTTATAACAATGGTTAGCCTGGGTGCCATCCTATTTGCTTATCAGGGCTCCCATGCTCACTTTGAGAGTGTACATGTATGTGAGCATGGCATACAAATACAATGTAGAATGATTCTATTTGTATGCCATGCTCACATACATGTACACTCTCAAAGTGAGCATGGGAGCCCTGATAAGCAAATAGGATGGCACCCAGGCTAACCATTGTTATGAAGTGTATACCTTCTACATACATGTATGATTATGAATCCTTGTGACAGGTCACGCTATGCCTATCCGATCACTGGCCTTCTCCGGAGACTCCCAGCTTCTGGTTACAGCTTCAGACGACAGCCACATCAAGATATATGACGTGTAAGCTTCAATCATTATTATTAGGAAAATTCGTCTGTGTTGGTAGTTACATATTTAAAGTTAAAACTTTTGATCCAACACAAAACCAGTCACTCTGGTCTTCCTCAGTGGACTGATCCAGTGAGACTTGTCATGTGGCTTCTTTGAAGTCAACACTAGTACTGGGTCAAAGGTATCTGGCAGTGATAATCATTATTATTGTTTACTCCTCTCCACCAAAGTAGAGCAGGCTGAGGGAAAATAATTTACCAGGGGAGCTTGGCCAACAGACTTAATTTGCCCAAAATTTTCCTCTTACTATTTTACTATTCATAACCCCTTATATGAAGGCCTGGTGGGGGCTAGTTGTTTGCAGATCAGGCTGATACTTATTACTTTCTATAGATTATGTGAAAGTTTGGTTTGTCCATTCTTCTTTGGCAAAACGTTTAGCAGAAAATGTTCAAGATTTAGAGCTGTGTGTGTTTGATTCTTAGTAGAATGGTCGCCATTCCAGTAACTGTATGTGTGTAATGTTTTTGCCCACAGTCAGCATGCGTCTCTGTCCCACACCCTAAGCGGGCACGCCTCCTGGGTACTGAACGTGTCTTTTTCACCAGACAACACTCATTTTGTATCAAGGTAAGGCATTGTACAAGTCAACAGAAATTTCTTTATTTCACTTGTCTATTTGTTTCAGGCATTTATCTCAGCACAATGTTACATATATTATTACACGTGACATTCCTTGGATGCGCTCATGGCTTTTGGCCTTCCACATCCACATCTTTCTAGGCCACTTCTCACTGAGTGTCAAATCATTGTTTTTAATACTCTATGTACTATGTAATAAGGACGAAATTTGGGTATTTGCCCGCGAGAGCCTTACCGAATAAAATATGATTTGATTTGATTCTTTGACAGGGGAGTTTGGCCACCATAGAGTTCATGTAACATCTGATTCAGATTTTTTTAGAGGGTCTTTGAAACCTGTGATGACTGTAGTTCATTTATTTTGTTGTGAATATTTTCCCAGTTCCTCAGACAAGAGTGTGAAGGTGTGGGATGGGAGAATGAGACAGTGTGCACACACATTCTTCGACCATCTGGATCAGGTATGTATATTATATATGAGAACTCATTTGCAAAATAACAAAATTGAGATTTATGCTTCACAAAAAAGTAGGAAAGAATTACCAATCATGCTAGTTGCTCAACATATTTTAAACATTATATGCCATGATATATTGTTTGAATGTGTAAAATAATGTATAGGACTACAAATTACCTACGTAAACTTAATGATTCATAGCAATTGTAGTGCACACTTTTGCCCTGTTCACAATATGATTAAATCCACATCTGGGATCCAATCAGTCCGATTGAATCAGGACTGCCTCTTATCGTGATTGGATCCTGATGCGTGCACACTTGTCAGCTCATCCGATCGCGATTGCGTTCCTTCCGCACAGGAATTGCAAGAGATGGATTTGATGAATTGCGATTCAAGCGTGATTGGTGCGTTCAGGTTCAGAAAAATCAATCGTGATTCAATCGTGATTGGACCACAATCACAATTCAATCGCGATTCGCGATTCTATTTGTGACAAATAGAATAGATATTCCCTGATAGAATGTCTTGTTTTTACATGTGTACAAAATGTGAACTTTTTTTTCAGAAGATGATCGTTACTAACTGTCATGATTATGTTTGTTTCCATGACAAGGTATGGTGCGCGGAGTATAACACCAACGGAACCAAGATAGTGTCTGTGTCCGATGACAGAGCCATCCACATCTATGACTGTCCTTTGTAAATGTGTGCCTTTGTGTTATTGAAAGTCCTTCCCGCAACATATAGTGTATAGTAGTGATGCATACCGGTTCACTGGACTTGGATCCGGACTTGTAAGAATGTTTAGGTTCAAGTCCAAAAAAACCTAGAAGTCAAGAACCGAGTCCGGACTTATTACCATAAAAGACCATTTCACATACCCCTTTTCTTCCAAACCACCTAAAACCTTCCGTTGATTGTAAAATCTTTGCTGCAAAACGAAGAAAACATTGCCATCGGGCATCGTCAAGTACCGGCCTCCATGTTATGTGGCCAAAGTTTCACCCAGACAACATTGCAAGGTTGCCAACATGCAATTTTGTATATGCCATGGGTTTAGGTCCGGACTTACAAGTCTGGACCTGAACCTAAACCTCTGGACATGAATCCGGACCTGAACCTAAAATTGGGTTTAGGTATGCATCACTAGTGTATAGGGCAGCTTCCATCTCCATTTCTATAGGCCTCAGGCCACACAGCTGTGCAAGTGATACAGCAGAGGGCTAGTCCACTGGTAGTTGTGTGTGTTCAACCCCAGTATTCTTCTCTATCTATGAGTGAAGAGAAAAATGGGGAACTGTATAAAAAGCTAACATAGAAAAAGGCGAGTATAGTTTTTCACTCCCTTCTTTGGCTCTGTTGTCCGGTTAACATTGGTACAATGTGAAACTGAGAGAAAGCAAAGAAATAATCTTTCACTGGTTGTGATAGAGAAAGCAGGCACTACAAATGTATGTACAGTTGTTACAGGTTCATTGTACCAGCACTTTTACACATCAAGTACAATGAACAGTGGACCACGACTTGATGTCCTAAGGACTTCAACCATTTCAAGCATTGTGCATGTCAGTTGATTGACAACAGCCGGGATTCAAACTCCCAACTTTTTGCTCCAGGAAGCAAGGTTGCTATCCACTGGACTAAGCATGCTAAGCACTGAGTTGACATGTATTATATTTAGTATTAGCTGCATTTTACATTCCTTACCGTAACTATACTTTCTTGCAATTATGAAGCATTTGTTTACAGACAAATACATCAGCTAAACTAGAGTTCCAACTCAGTTTAGTTCGATCATACAATAATATAATTTGTTCTTGTTTTGTATAAAGGCAATCTTAATGGTAAAAGTAGAGAAGCTGATATTAGTTAAGGTAACTTGTATAATGGTTTGCCATTTACGTGTATTCCATTTTAACCCCCAAAAAGCCCCAAATAAAAGTGATCTTTCTTTTTTCAAAATTTTGCCTTGGTTGCCTAATTATGCAAGATCTGCCTCTCCCAAGGGCACAAGATCGGTGGCACATGCAGGATTCGAACCTGGAACCTCTTGGGTCTGAGCCAAACACATAGCCGAGTATATATCTTAGCCAAATATAAATCTTCTTTATCTTATATTTCACCCCAATAGTAGAGATTTTACCATTGCCCTTGCACATAGAAAATGATGACAGGGAAGTTTAAAGTGAAAACATCACCAATGATACAGTTTATTAGCTCTGTGAGAACCTGTAGATGAGTGACGAGGGTGCAAAATGACATGTTTATATACAGAGTACTTAGTTTCCTACATACATGAATGTTAATGGTTTAGAACACACCACTCAGGTACACTCAGCAGTTTGACACTATGCTCCATACCAATATTTTGGTGTACAGTACTGTGTACATATGTTTATAAGAATTTTAGCCTATACTTTGTACAGTCTTAGAATCTGCAACAGCTATAGAACTAAGGCATTGGATTTCTCCAAAATTATTCTCTATGCTAGCCTACTTTTAACAGTCATACCACAAAAATCATCAGATCAGGTAGGCTGATTTCTATAGCCTGGTTACTAAACCTATTATAGCTCCCAAGTCCTACATCCTCTCCGCAAATAGTTGGGAATCAACCAGGTCCAGACCTATTTGCGGAGAGGATGTAGGACTCGGGAGCTATAATAGGTTTGGTAACCAGGCTATGATTTCTAAAGAAAGGACATAGTTTCATTTTTACATTAGAACTGTGCTAACATCACAACCTCCCTCTATAAACACTTAACTACAGAAGTGTGGCATCATTCGTGGTGCATGATTCCTGTACAATACATACTCCCTTAACTTGAACAAACTGACTACATGTAATATCAGCACACGTGAGAGATATAAACTTGTTTAAATTAATAGATAGTTTCTTACTAGCCCATACTATTCATAAACCACCATAACATACCTTAGATTATAGAGACACATTTTGCAAAAATACTTTCTATATTATAATGGTACAATACAAACACTCCTGGTCGGGTGATGTCTACAGTTAGCTTTAGACGTTTAGTTGTGTAAACAAGACATACAGTAGACATAGGGTCACTATATCGACTTGAGATTAACTTTTAAGGCCCCCGTGACATATACAGATAGTGTAGTGGTTTATACTGTACTAGTTTATTTACAAGGTGCATATATGGTATTCGTCTTCTTTTCTTTCACCGGTTTTATAAATAACCTTAGATGATGTCAAGGATACAGTTGATGTGTTGTTATGAATATGAAACATATCAAACAGAAATGTAGAAGAAATTAAACCGGATATGCTTCAACTAATGTTGGGAATTGACATTGATATTGACATTGTGTACCACACCAGCGCTACATTTTGGAATATTTCGAAATGTGCATCAGGTACATTCTGGGATATTCGAAAATGTGCTTCAGGTAGTGCATTTTGGAATATTCAAAATGTCTTACGGATACGTTTTGGAATATTCGAACTATGCTTCAGGTACATTTTGGAATATTCGAGTATGCTTTAAGTACGTATACGGAAAATGCAAACAGACGCTTCTAGTATATGTTTTGGAAAATTTGAATAAATGCTTTAGGTACGTTTTGGAATATTCGAAAACATGCTTCAGGTACGTTTTGGAATATTTGAAAACATGTTTCAGGTACGTTTTGGAATATGCGAAAATATGCTTCAGGTACGTTTTTGGAATATTCGAAAATGTGCTTCAGGTACGTTTTGGAATATTCGAAAATGTGCTTCAGTTACATTTTGGAATGCGGCCTATTTTCAGAACGCCACAGCTAATCTAAGATTCGAAAATATGCTTAAGGTACGTACGTTTTGGAACATTCGAAAATATGCTTTAGGTGCGTCTTGGATGGGAATATTCGAAAAGGTACGTTTTGGAATGCGACACATCTTCAGAACGCCAGATGAGAACTAATCTAAGGGTTGTCTGAGAACATGACGGTCAGGTACGTTTTGGAATATTCGAAAATGTGTTTCAGCTAGTTTAAAAAATATGCTTCAGGTACGTTTTGCAATAGTCTAAAATGTGCTTCAGGTACGTTTTGGATTTGCATTTTCAGGACGCGCCAGAACTAATCTAAGGGTTGTCTGAGAACATGACGGTCAGGTATGTTTTGGAATATGCGAAAACGTGTTTCAGGTACATTCAAAATATGCTTCAGGGACGTTTTGGAATATTTTAGAATATTCTAAAATGTGCCTCAGGTACGTTTTGGATTTGCATTTTCAGGACGCCAGAACTAATCTAAGGGTTGTCTGAGAACATGACGGTCTCCAGACTGTCTCGGGAAGCCTGGCGCTGCAGTTTCTCCAGCGGTTTGGGAGGGTCGTAGTTGGGTTGATTGTTGAAGTACCCCTGGCTTGGGGGCCGCGGGTCCTGGCTGGTCGGGCGGGGAGGGTCCTGGGTACGAGGGGTGTCACGGTTGTCATAGTTACGGGGCGTCTCGGTCGGCTTGCCGTAGTAGTAGCCGGAGTTGTTGGGCTCCTGGGGGTTGTTGTAGTAGTTGTCCTGAAGTGGACAAATGATGTAGTTTAGATTTAGACTTGTTTCAAGTAAGTCGAACAACACGGTGAACACTGTAATTTATTTTAGATCCAACTTAAGTTTTTAACAGTATCTATTAGAAACGGGGGGCCTTTCTACAATAATAGGGAAAGAGTGAATGAAGATAGAAGAGTAACAAAGTATGGAGGTTTTAGTCTCCACCAAAACTTCCTTGGATAAAGGGAGACAGGCCTGCAGTATTTTTAGGAGGCTCCTAAAAAGAATGTAAACAAACAGCGGTTTTTGTTCGGGTATCTTCGGAAGTTTTCAACACGTTGATTATTTTACTCCCCAAATGTCATTAGTAACCTAAGTAGGCTTATAGTGCAAGGAAATGTGTAAAACAACGCTGCTTAAAATAGTGAAAATCTTACATAATATCGCTTTAATTGAGTTTCCCCTCACCTTGCGTGGTGGCTCGTCCTCGTTGTTGCGCTTGTGGCTGAGTGCCTTGATGGGCGTGTCGTTCCTGCGCGGCCCCTGGTTGTGGATGGAGCACACCACCGTGCGGCTGCGGAAGTACACGTAGCTCACGAACGCGTTGATGATGTACAGCAGCGCCACCAGCCACGAGAAGGCCTAAATGCAGAAGAAGAAATAATGGAAAAATATTGGTCAGATCTAGAGAACTTATTTGAAATACTTCTTCTTCTTCATTTTTCCTCTATGAGATGCAGCTAATGAAGCGTTATCTCCAGTACAGTCTGTCAGTCATTGCAGACAGAAGTTCCGATCCTTGCAGATCGGTTTCAGATTCAGTGAGTTTCTTAAGAGTTGTGCTTGGATGACCACTCCTTTGAGTTTTGAGTTTTATTTTAAATGCATGTATCAGAAAAAAACAGCCACGAGAAGACCTAAGTACAGAAGGAGAAAAAACATAAATATTTAAAGACGTCCAATGTAAAACAAAATATATTCCGGATGAGGAAATATTTCTGATATTGACACCGCTATTTCTTACCCCATTTTCGTCATCATGTCATACTTTCAGCGTTTTCAGTAGCCCCAGAACAAACAACCTTCGTCAGGAGTCTATTTTTTGGCACCACCAGTAAATAGCTAGAACCAACGTATAATATAGGAAACAAGCAACCGTTTTCCATTGGCGACATCGTATTTTTGCCTCAAAGATAGCAGTATACTATGGGATAGTGTTGATTAAACTTAGTGCATATAAAAATGACTAGAAAATTAACTTTGAAAATACGAATTTACTGCCCTTAATATCCATGGTTACCGGAAAACTGTAAAATCTGTTCAGTGAATAAGCAGCGTTGAACAATTTGCATTCAAGCGAAGATATTCAAGTTTTATGTTGCATATATCAAAGAAAATGTATTTTTCAACAAAATAAATCATTCCTTAAACACTATTGACAGAATTATCAGAGTATCAGTATCCTAAATGATGAGAAATGTTAGAGTCCCAATGTAAATATCAGGACTGTGATTTCTATGGGGTAAACCATCTCTTTGTGACCCAACAATTGCCTCATGAATAATTTGTTACAGTGATTTGTCGAGGGAAGCATTTTACGGCTGAATAATTTATTGCATAGCGCCGAAGGAACACGTAGTTGTCATTGTTTAGTCCCCCTAGAGCTGTGTACGTGGTGACGGATTTAACCTGGTGACCAGTGTATCGCGGTTGGGGCGGGTTCTCTTCGGGGCTGCAGAAGCTCTTCCCCGCCCGCCTCAGCTAGGGTCCCCCGGAAGGTTTTTTGCGGCAGGAGTTTGATTAGCCCCGCCACCTAGTGGGTATTAGATAGTCCTGTCCTTGGTGCTGAATCGCACTTTGAAATTACTGCTATCAGTTGTTGGTACTGAAATCCATTCCCTTCAATAGTTTTTGTAACCGTGTCCACAAAGTTTGAATATAGACACCGTTATGACCGTTATTTTTTGAAAATTTGAACTTACACAGGCGATGGAGTAGGTGATGTACCAGTCGCTCCAGTAGTCATGGTAACCGGAGATGGGTGCATACTGGTCGGCAACGGACCACGTCTGGACAATGGCCGCCACAAAGTACAGTATGAAGGCGATCAGGGAGTAGATAAAATCCTGCAAGTGGAGAAGAAAAAAACGTTTTCAGTACCGTTTATGGTTGAAAGTTGTGGATAGATTGTTATGAAATTTTGTGCGTGGTTTGGTCTTGAACTAACCTAAAGATTATAAAATTCTAGTACCCCTAGTGGCTTTTCTTGGTATTGCAGTGGTACCACCGATTTCTGGGTCAGAGGTATCTTGCCAATGTTTGTGATTTGGTCTTGAACTACCAAAAAAAATCAAAGTTTAGGACCCCTTGTGGCCTTTCTTGATTTTGCGGTGTTACCTGCCGTTTTTGTATCCTGTCTTATCGGCTATATATAACCTTAGCGAACGTAAAAACCAGTACTCACCACCAGGTTCCAGTTGTATCCGCACTTCCTGCACAGTCCGGTCGCGTGGGTGATGATAAAGATGAGGGTAACCAGCCAGCACGTCACGGCGACGAGCACCACCCAGTGTTGGGCATCTCCCAGCACAGAGATCAGAGACAGGTCAAAATAGGCGTACACAACCAGCAGTACCCACACCACAAACCCGAAAAACTGAAAGGAAAACAAGAGAACAATGTTAGCAGGAGATTCAAACAGCGTTGATAAATATTCATGAGCAGAAACGGGGGCCGATACCGACTTCCAACCACCCTTGACCCACTCATCTGTGTTGGTAACATTTTTTATAACAACTAGCAGTACCCACACCACAAACCCGAAAAACTGAAAGGAAAACAAGGGAACAATGTTAGCAGGAGATTCGACCAGAGCTGATAAAGAGACGAGGGCCGATACCGACTTCCAACCACCCTTAACCCATTCATCTGTGTTGGTAATATTTTGATTAGATTTTACTGTGTTGGTAATAGTTCCCTTTAAAGATTTTGATTAGATTTGGTTCAACAGAGACTTCCAACCACCTTTTATCCCTCCATCTATGTTGATGACACCTTCCTTGATTAAACAAAGACGGGGGCCGCTACTGACTTCCAACTACATACTCACGTCACAGTTCTTGAGGGTTTTATATTTCCCGTTTACAAATGAGATCTTAGCACAAAATATGGATACCCGCAAATGACCTGCGCTAATATGTCGTGGCCCTGGTTGTATTATTTCAAAATATCATATCTCACAAAAGTTTTTCAGTTTAGTCCCTGATTGTGATAGACGTGTTCAGAGCTGTTTTGTTTTGTAAAAGCTGACGTAAGAAACTAGGAGACGAGTTGTTGTCTTGGATATCAAGGGCACACATGAAACTTTGACACGCACTAACGAATGTACCTACATGATAAAAAATCTCATCCCTGTTCTTTGTAATTAATTAATATAGATCTATTATCCATCATACAATAACAGTAACCTTCTCAACTGGACAGCTTGCGTGTGTCTGTGTATTGTTCAACAAGAAACTTGACAGAAAGGAAATGTATACAAAGGAAGACATTGACATATACGATTATCTCACAACAATGCTGAAGAGAGTTTGTTACGGTAGCAACACCTACAACAGAACCCAACGCCAAAAACACTAATAAATTATTCAAAGTCTTATAGATCGGAAGAGGCATGTTTTGTGTTTGAATAGACGATTATAAAGGTATTTATTCGAATGTATATCCTGACACAGTAGATACGGTTAATCATAAACCCACGGCCTAAAAATGGCTATGGGACTACCTTTAACTTTTTTTATTTCCTAACACGAGTCGTATAAGTGTTTTCTGTACTAGGTGGGGACTTGAAACTATACTTTTGGCCTATGACTTTGTAAAAATGTAACTCTATGACCTGCTAATTTAAAAACTCATCTTGCTAATTACTAGTATTCTACTATGTTTTAATGTATCTCATAGTCTGAGTGCCATCCGTTTTGTAACGGGGCTGCTTGCACTCGATGATGACCCAAGAAGTCTAAATGAGAGACTAGCAAATAGATATGGTATCTACGTCTACAAACGTCGTCGCTAACAAATATCGGACTAACAATACGAACAGGTGTTACCAAACGACAGAAAGTGTGATTTCCGCTCCAATTTCAATAATTGACGATAGATAATCGTAGCTAATTTTTACAAACACTGCAGAAACAGATGTTCCATAAGCACATAGGCGGACGATGATTTCTTAGTTGTGTTTTTTTTTCTTAAAATAATGTTTCTTTTTTAGTGAATTTCACTTTGATAAACGGTCTTTGATATACCGGAGATACAAACATTACTTTGTACAAGCGATGAGCTGCCCTCAGCATAAAATGTTTCTCAAAAACGTGTAAAATGTTTCTTAAAAGGGGAGAGAAAACGATAGATCTGTAGCTCTTTGATTCTATGTATCTATATCCTTTAGTTAGATTTTCAAATCTGATACAAAAATGACAAACTCATTATTATTTTTCAAAACCAAAACAGCAGTTTGACACAAAGTAACTGTTAACGTGTTGGAAATTTAAGACAAAACAAAATATATGCTCACCAGCTCCAGAAGGTGCAAGGCTCCGATGACACTGCAGATGTATTCAAAGTTGCAGCACGTATAACTGTACACTCCCATCTCTACACACGGCTTTAAAATCCTCCAGTCAACGAATCAGGGTGTGCCGGTCTTTCCGTTGGGTAGTTTTTATCCGGATGTTTCAAGTCAGTCGAAAATCCTGCGGTAAAAAACGTACACACTAGTCAATATTGTGCCTAAGTCTCACGTTCGCCGCTTTGTGTCTGGGTAGAATAGGCGCTCCCGGTTTTTATACGGTCATCTCGTCTGTTGGTATGTTTCTAAGGGAACTTCGTTTCCCATCAGGCATTGAAATGTCAAGGCGGTATACCGTTATTGTCAGTGTTGTGAGAACAGGGACGGGTGTGTGTTTGGCAACGGTGTTCACGGTGACAGCACGGGAGGGGGAACAATGGAGATGAAACATAGTCATTATTCACCAGTTTTCCATTCCCATGACGCATTGCGACATGGGAATAACGCAACGCATTTACAGTGGTAACACTATACTGTCTGTCGATAGAAAGGAGATACAACTATGACTTGACTATATTGCTCAAAATAATTCAAAAGATGTATAAAAATATTGATATTAAATTGTTCTAGTTTCTGCATCAACGAATGTAAAAACACCAGAGAAACAGATAATTTAGATCACAAGGCGCTATGCAACCCGGGAATTTTTACCCTTAGGCGCAATGGTTCATGGGAATGCGAAACTGGTAAATGACGAGCTCATTGGCAGAACAAACTGCGCCTGCGCGAAAAACAGATTTTTCACGGTTTCCGTTGGATGTTCGGTTAAGCGTTGGTTTCGCGCAGGCGCAACAGGGAAAGAAAACAATGGAGAGGAAACGTATAGTGATGACGTATTTTCATGTTTGAAACAATAAACCGATGTCCTTCATACAGCATTTGTAATTAGGTTTGTTTACCAAGGAAACAATACGTTGAACCCATAAACTGAATTGTTTATCATAACAAACGGCTAGGGTCATTAAAACAACTACCCTTAATAATAAAAAATATTGTCCTCGATCTACAATACATAGTTTCTCACATGTCCATATGCATTGATTTTGAATTATTGCTATTTTAGGCCATTGAGAAGAATCCTACTTTACAAGATGATAAGCTTGTATATAGTGAATTACGCATATCTATACATGTATTTGGGTCATACAATTAAAAATTTGAGATTCGTCCTCTATAAGTTCTAGACAATGTAAACACTCCCAGTAGTCAAATAGATTTTTCTGGAATGATAAAAACAACGCAATCGCTTACCTGTTCTATTTTATAGTAAAATCTGGTGTCCTTCCTTGTAGTGTGTTGATTCAACAAGATGGTCCCTCGCTTGTGTTGAGTTGGGTTCTACTGTAATGTAGGTTTTCCCTGTGCGCTATCAGTCTAGTTACCAGTCCCTCCCAGGGCCTGCAGACTTTTTTCTCGGCACTGTAAGTTTCTATCCCCGCCTGGCCAACTAAGACCACCCCGGTGATTTTGCCTGTCTGAATTAGACTAAAGTATATAGCCTTCCGGGGGGGCTAAGACAAAATGCTATCGGGGGTATGGTGGGCCTGGTGCCGAGGAGCTGGTATGTGCGAGCCCTGACAATAGCCTGAGTTCCAGGCTAGCACGTGTATTGCGTGCAAACCTTCAACAAATAAGAAAACTCTACAAAGGTTGCCTAGCGGTCGTGACTGCGTATTTCCCTGATGTATTTAAGAAGAGCTTCTCTGCGTGCATTGACGGCCTTCTACTAGTATTCATTATTGATGACCCTACGTTGCCAGCTTGCCAAACATACAATGCTATACATGTATACTAGTATTTTCGTTGATAATTACGCCACTCTGACTTAATTTTATGGATGACATTCTCTGAAGACCTGTTGTGGTCGCGGGACAATAAATACAAATTTAAATCCAGTCAAAAAAATGCTGCTAAACCACAGGAATAAAAAGCTGGTATTGTGAATTTCCGGTAGTACATGGCCACCTTTACGACACTAGCTGGCCTTTTGCGACATTTATGAGTTAGCACTTAACTGAGTTCTTGAGTTCCGTGGAGCTTCGGCAGCCTAGGTGCAATCCACCACAGTTAGCGCCGGCCCCCGCTACCATGGACTACTGAGGATGGCATTCAGGCCAGAGCCTCGGAGGAGGTGATTTTTAGAACAGATGAAAATCAATGCGCGCGCGGATGTCATCCATAATATTAAATCAGTGTGGCCTTACTCGCCGCTGAAAGTTGCAACTCTGTGAACACTGTAAATCTAAGCTGATTTTACTAGTACTCCAGAGTTTTTGTGAGCGATAATGTGCATGTAATTCGGCCTAACAACAGACAATTTGCTGACTGTCCCTTAACCTAAAAGTGACTCCGTCGAATTATGAGTAATCGAGGCCCTGACTACTTGTTATAATTATTCCCCACACCTCCCAAGGCAATCATTGGTGGGCAATAATCATGTGTTACACGTTCTCTGGTTGGACGCCAGTGCTGGTATGGACAAAACTAGAGTGCAATATACGTCATTGGCCACACCTTTAATCCACAAACAATGATATCACAGACAAGTGCAGAAAATTTGATCTCTTTGCGTTTTATTTTGATTTCTATGGTACACAAATACATTCCCGTAGACGTAATCTATTACCCAACACGATGAATTGTTTACCAAAGTTAAAAAATGTCTACTAGGTAGAATTTTGTAAACATTGTCAAATATCTAATGATACTGCTGTATCCATTTGAAATGATACCAATATGATACATGCAATTTTAACTCTTGATCATATGTACTGAATTAAAAAAAATGTATATGCCTTTGCCTCATTTCACAAATATAATCTAGAAAAAGTAAGCCAATTTACCGATTGTCTACATGGCTCCACACTGTCCCAATGTATATTGAACCTCATTACATGGAGCAAAAACTTTTAAAAATCTGACGAAAAATTATTACCGGAAGGGCCCTGGGCTGATTTTAGGGTACCACCCAGAAAATAAAGAACTCATCTTGGGGCTTGTTTCTGCAGTTTTAAAAGCCCAAAGTATGAAATACTGACTCAAATGTGCTAATGTGAAGCAGTACTAGTATGTGTCAATGTCACAAAGATTTGCCTTATTCAGGATATTGCCAGTTTTCTTGCCCTGAAGTCGCATTAGATGCTTTTAAACATTGCTGCATGTACGGAGTTCCCTCTCTGAGAGAAAAGGCATGACTTTGACCAACTCACGGATACCATCATCTACAGTAAGGGTTGTGTTGTACCCTAGCTTACGGAGCTTAGCGTAGGACACCTCGTAATCACGCTTATCCTTATCCTCTCCCTCATCTGACAAAGTGATCACACATTTGGGGATGAACTCTTGGATCTTTTTAGCTAGATCAGCCTTAGTCAGGTTCATGGTTTCGGACCCTACGTTATACGCCTGCCCTGACATCTTCTCATAGTTCCTAAGAACGAAGGCGAAGGCCATTGCCGCGTCCCTGATGTGGAGGAACGTGCGGCGGAAGGAGGCTTGGTACAGGGCGAAGTGGTGGCCGCTCAGCGCCTTGTAGGTCAGGTCGTTGACCAGGAGGTCGAGACGTAGCCTGGGAGAGACTCCGAAGACTGTCGCCAGGCGGAGCGCCACGCCTCCCGCCCCCATGACGGCCTTCTCTCCGGCGGCCTTGGTTTCCCCGTAGAGGGTCAGCGGGCTGATCGGGGTCTCCTCCGTGCAGATCCCCTCCACCGCCCCGTAGCAGGACCCGGTGGACGAGTACACAATGCGCTGGTGAGGCTTCAGCAGGCGGACAATATTCTCTGTGCCCTCCTAAAGTAAGACACAATACGTATGCTGTAATTACTGTCAAAGATCGGGCGTGTCCTGAGGCAAAAGGCCTTCAAAGGTTTTCACAAGTCACAAAATCTTTACGTGGTTGTCTGATATGTTTCAATTGTTCACAGACACGCAACTGCAGATTCGCGTTGTCTTCTTCCTTCTCGACTTTTAATTTCATATAATTGCTATTTTTAAATGGTTGCAGGTTGTTGTCTGGCACATGTTAGAATTTACAGACACGCTAAAGTTAGCTTCTTCTTCTCTCAAATGGCAGTAACTTCCTTCTCAACCTCAAAACACCATTTTCAGTCAATTTAGATTCACATTGTTGACGTATGCTGTAAATATTTGCAGACAAAAAATGCGAAGGTTACACATATCCACAATAGGGAAGTAAGGGAAGTAAACCATTTCCAGTTGCTTGAGTAGTTTTTTTTTTTGGCGTAATATGTTTGTCAAACTTCCTTAAAAACCTCTTTATCTTACTGTTATCGTTTAATTATATCTACCTTTATCAACACTCAACAGTGTGGCAGGTTGAATGAAAGTTCTAATCGGGAACTATGCGGTTCCAGGTGTCTTACTGAGGGACGACTGCGTGTGCAAGATGTCGGTTAGCTGAGGAATGAATCCCCTCGAATTCACATTTTTTAACACTCAAATACCGACTTTTCTATAACTGTTATCTATGTCCATCTACGTTCAACAACAACAGCATTTGCTAGCTAGCTTACCTTGTTGATTTTGACGGCGAGGTCCGGCTTAGCCGCGCAGGCGGGGAACCCCACGATGGCGGCAAGATGGACGATAGAGTCCACATCAGACATTGCCTCCGCCAGCTTGACTTCGTCCGTGATGCTGCCCTCCATGAGCCGGAGCCTGGGGTGTCCGGCCACGGGTAGCAGCGGGAACACCCCGAAGTTGAAGATGTCGTACACGGTGACGAAGTAACCCTCTTGTAGAAGTATGGGGACCAGGGTTGAGCCGACATACCCGGCACCACCGGTCACCAACACATGCTGGCCGTTCTCAGGAGTGATGTAGCTAAAGACATAAAAAATACACAACATTTTAGCATACATGTAGGAATACTTTACGACATGTCACTGACGAAAGCTAGTGGATACTAGCTGAAACGTCTGACGTTTTCAAAATCATATCCAGTTGCTTGAGTAACTGCTTTTTGGCGTACTTTAGGACATTGTATGCCGCAATTTCTTCATAAAATCTCAATGTTTTGCTTCCTCTTTGAAGTTGGTTTCCTTGGATATAGTTTAAATTGTGATAGAAATATGAAATTTAAGAGAGAAGACACCTTTTGCTTTGGATTTCAGACAACACCTCAACAAGACAGTTCCAACAAGACTACTCTTTTTGGCCTGTTCTCGCATGAAAGCTTATTCTTGGAGCATTAAAATCCTGTTCATGTTTAGGACTTCATTTTGAATCACATGGCTGCCCTTAGGCGTAACACGCCGGCCTCGCAAGATCTAAATTTGCGTCACCTTACCCTCTAGGCCATGTTTAAACTGTCCATGAGTATGTCCATTGTACTTATAGGTAACAATAGTTTCAACTAACATAGTTCTAAGAAGGACTATTTTCGGACACCTCAACTCTGCATTGATATAGCTATGGTATTGAGCTTTGAGTTACTTCTACTTATGACTCGTGTGCTCTTTTCTTTAAGCCAAACAATATTGATAACAGATACTACAATATTCTACATGTATGATTTCACGGTAAACGTAAGGCAAAAGTAGCCCAAAAACTGAACTGAAACTCACCTGTCCATGGTTCAAAACTGAGAATTGACGGGACACCTGGAGATACTGAAGTCGTGCTCTCAAACACTCGGAGTGCGTCACTTTTCTCGTAACAGTAGTACTAACCAGTGATGGCACCTAACACGCCCTGATTAAATTACAGTAATTAATAGACAACCGTCCAATGAGGTGGCGCCTACCTCGGGTTCGGTATGTTACACCTCCCTCTATTGGTTAAATGTATGTCAGTGTCTTCTTGCAGACAACAGATTGACCTTTGACCAACGGGAGCGTCCCAATACTTGCTCAACCAGTCGAACAACTTGGTTGCGTTGTCAATACGTCACAAAGATCGACTTCGATTTAATCGTTTCTCGTGTCATGCTCTGTTGCCGTCAAACAGTATTAACACAAATACCATACAGATCCTCTGTCTTTTTTTAATAAGAAAAATCTAATTAACTGTAAACCACGTTATGCCCCATTTTTACATGTTGTTCCATTGAGCTAGTGAACAAAATACACAATGTAGATTTGTATGACCAGTGACTTTATGATTTGAATATAATACTTGGCGCTAAAGCTGTGTTATCAATTAAAACATCAATGGCGAATAAACTACATGTAATACGTAGATGGCAAATGACATACATGGGTGACGTATGAAAGATTTACAATGACGAACGAAACACACGAATAACTCACGAGTGACGTATGCCGTATGACGCATTTCCGGACCGGGCAATGCTGCTTGCTAAGGGCATTTCGAAACGGTGTCGAATTGGTCAGCTTTTTGAACGATCAGTTTGACACCTTATTGCCTTATACAGATGATTTAAATTTTGACGTCAGTCTATTTGGGCCTGTTTGGTCGTCGTCAAGTCAAAAATTGTGCACTACATTTTGTCGCTGTACTATTCGAATCGGACCATTGGAAAGTTGAAAATTGTAATCAAAAACAGCATTTCATTGTAAGATGTTTATTCGCCACACAATAACCATATACCAGATATGCTTCAAAATCGTTTTCTCCAATCACCAAATTCAAATTCTCAATTGTAAAGAATGTAGAATATGATGCAATCGTTGCCTACAATTTTGGACTGCCTAATTGTTCAGGCAAGTATACAAGGTCGTCTGTTACAATTACTGACGACTAGTTGAACAAGCGGTCAGGGCCGCTCGTATAGGTCAAACGTCAATGCACTATAAACATTATACATACAAACTTCGTCAATAAGATATCTACCGCAACATGTTGTATGGAAGACATTGTACGTGTTTAGATAATGAAACGCATGTTGGATTCAGTGGAACACTGTAAGTCTGAACTGATTTTACAAGTACTCCAGAGTTTTTATGACCGATCATGTGAATGTAATTCGACCTAACAACAGGAAATTTGCTCCCCGTCCCTTAACCTAAAAGTGTCTCAGTCGACTTCTGAGAAATCGAAGCCCATTTTTTTATCATCAAAAATAGTTCTGCTCTAAGTGCATTTTCAGTTATTCGTGCAACTGGGTATTATCCATATGATTTCACGATTCACATTCCAAAACAATTCAGCCATGCATACAAGGTTGCCTGTTATAAATACTGAGGACTAGTTAAACAAGTAGCCAGGGCCTTTCGTATAGGTCAAACGTCAATGCACTTAGATTATAAACATCATACAAACAAACTTTATCAATAGGATATCTACAGCAATATGTTGTATGGCAGACATTGTGCATGTTTAGATCATGGAAAAGTATTTTGGATTCAGATGAACACTGTGAATCTGAACTTAGTTTACTGTAATGATTATTCCAGAGTTTTTGAGAGTGATCATGCACATGTAATCCGACCTAACAATACACAGAAGCTCCTTGATATAACCAAGGTCAAGCCTTGAGAACAAAATGGCGGCCCCCTAATTATACGGTTATTTGTTTTTCTGTCACTCTGTGACTTCCATTGTGGCTGTACCATTATCGGACAACTTGTGTAGGTTAAAGGTTGTAGGTTTTTCAAGGTCAGATGAGCCCACAGCAGTAACACAAAGACACAACCAGGGAGGGAGAGACAGAGAGGGGGGAAGGGATACTTGATAGAGAGAGAGAAGGGGAGAGAGATAGAGAGAAATGATACTACATTTGATTTAGGTTTTTAATTAAGATTTTGAATAGTGTATCATATTTAAATAAATCGCAGGTCATGGAATGATTATAGATACAAAGATCACGTCCAAAAAGAACAAGGATCATTCTTCGTGGCATAGACTGTCTAGTGACAGTCTGAGATTGTGTAAGTACGATGGGATCGAAGTCGATCCTCCCACATGTCTATTCTTAGCCTGGTGCCCAGTCTATCGCAAGTGGGCGGGTTTTCCTCGGGGCTGCAGGAGCTCTTCCCCGCCCGACTCCCCTAGGTTCCCCGGTAGGTTTTGTACGACAGGAGTTCAGTAGGGATAACAAACTCTATCACAGGCGTAACACTTCCACCGGGCGGCCTGTTGAGTTGGACGGGGAAAAATTATTTGAGCCCCGAAGACAGCCTGCCTCAACCACGATAGACTGGATACCAGACTAGATCTATTCCAGAGACCCGTTGAACAAGTAGCGAACCCACAGGAGTCAAAGGTCAACCAACAGACACCTACATTATAGACAACCAGCGACTGACAAAAGCCTTACAGATGATGTAATCATATGTAATACAAAAAAATTATAGGTCAATTGTTCCATCGACCAGTTGAGCAAGTCATAATTGTTATGGCTAAGTAGGACAAAGGTCACTCTACAGACAAGATGTAAGATTTCTAAGAGAAAACAGTGTCTACAGGCAGTATACTGTAAACCTTTATATTAATGCTTTGTTTCAAACGAATTGTGGAGCTTAACTTTATATACTTTACTGTCAATGGATACGAGACAGGTTAAAAGATACACATTTCCACCACTGGTAGCGACTTGTAAATTATAGCTCAAGGACACACAGTGATTCAGTGTCCCTGGCTACTCTCTGTAGTTTGATAATGTTCTGGGGGAGGGGGGCAGCTTTTTTTTACTTGTACTGTGATTTCGTTGGTAACGTCCACTTGAATCTAGATTTTTCTAAGGGCACGGTCACATTTTCAAGCCGGAGCCCGGCCGGGTTGTTTGCGTGAACGAAAAATAAACAATTTGTATTAAGAGTATCCACAAATAGTGCCCATGGTCAATTTTCTAAAACTCTTTTTGTGTTTTGCTGTCTTATATCATAATCTTCGTTTCATACGACTGCCCGGCCGGGCCTCGGGTTGGGAAATGTGACCGCGCCTTTAAGGTGACAAATTATCATCAGAAAAAGGGAAAGATACAAGGTATATGTACCTGTTTTCACTAAAATGATACAATCAAGACAAATTCACATTGAATTATTTTGGATTTTTATTGAACCTGATGACTATACGGCAAACTATCCACATGAATAATGAAAATATGAAAATACACGTTAAGTGTCGCAATGTTTACATATCTTAGTAAAGAGATACAAGAGTAATACGCAAAAAAAATCTAAAAGCTAGTTTTACTTGTGCGTTTCACCTATATACAGAAATCAACTACCATAGACAAGGAAAAATTAACGTTAAGTCACTAAAGTGACTAAATCCTAGTTCTCTTCCATTGAAGTACAGAAAAAGAAAGCTATTTTTCTGTCACAATTACATTTCAAACTTCTAAATTAAAAGACATAACTTTTCAAGTGCACCTTTAAGGTAAAATAAGCATGATAAACAGAGAAGTAGATGATACTACTAAGTATTCATTCAATATGCTTATGCATATGAAGCAACTTTGAAGCGGTTGTTTTCAAACTGAAGCTCTTTATACTCCACATCTTCCATTGGGTCACACATTGAACGGTTCTCCCCTTCAAACCACCCTCTCAAATTTGTGTAAAGTTTTCTTTTATTAGGACACCTGTTAGTAAGCTCCCTACACAGATTACACCAAACCCCTTCCTCTAAAGGAATGTTCTTAGGAGGCTGTGTCTTCCACTTAAAGTAGGCATTGTATTTGTCTTTATCTTTGTCAAGCATCATCAAGTAGTTTGCGAGTTGTTTGGGTGATTTGAAGTCGTCCACGTGAATGTAGGAGTGAGGCGGTGCAAGCCTCTCGTAGTCGGATCGGTTGGCTCCCAGAACAACCGGAATGACGTCGTTTGCCAGCGCGTTTCTCCAGAACTTCTCGGTGAGGTACTCCTTACACTTCATGTTCTCGAAGGCGAGGTAGAACTTGTACTGCCTGATGATACCAGGCATGCAGGTTACGTTCCACTTCGCACAGACTGTCTTCCCGCATCTTCCGAAGACATCTACGTGCATGTGTTTGACCAGTTCTGTAGCATAGGCCACACGGTTGGCTTGGGTGTTGCATTTACTGATGAACCAGACTGCCAGCTTCTTTTTCCCCGCAGCGTAGTCTTTCTTGGGATCGACGCCTTCAACTTCGAGTCTCTGGTAGGTTCTGTGCAACGAGCCCCAGGCACCAGAGGAATCCGAGTCAGCTCTGTACGTGATTGTCCAATTGAAGACACTCTTGTACGTCTCGAAGTTGATAGATGGAAACCCCGGGCACTCCGTGTGGTACCATACCCAGTGCTGGCGAGGGTAGCGCACCTTCGGCATCACGGAAGCGTTGTGTCTCTTCTGCAGGTTGCTCACTTCGAAGAGGACGGCGTCAGCTTCGTGAATTTCAGCCCGGAATCCGGTAAAGATACAGTTCGGCATACTGGAGCACTTCGCACCTCTTCCCTTTGGTAGTACCTTTCTCATCTGCTTGTCCCACAGCTCTGTCCAGATTAATATCTTCACCTGGTCCCGTTTCTTGACTTCAGTAGGTGGGTCGTACCAGACGGAGTAGAACTTGGCCAGGGGGTTGACTTTGGGGTCATCTCTGGGTTCGCGGGCACACGTTGGGTCGGTCTGTTCAGAAAGGCCTGGTTTTTTGTTTACCTTGAAGGTATTGCCTTTGTCTTTAGGACTGTCATCCATGCTAGGGACATTTGGTTTCTTAGGGGCATCTTGTTTTGTAAGGATATCTTGCTCTCTCGGGATGTCTCGTTTGGTGGGAGCATCTCGTTTGACGTTGGTGTCTTGCTTGGTAGGAATGTCGCCTTTGCTACAGTCACAGTCAGCCTTGACATCCCTGGAGCTCCGCTTGTTATCCATCATTGTAGTTGTGAGATAAAACACAAGCACCGTGCACAGGCATATTACGACTATCTCCGAGCATCGCTTGAACAAATGCGATGTTCTCATTTTGGATGGCCGGACTCGCGGACTGTTTGGTGTCAAAATGCGATCCTTGCCTAGTGCGAATAGAAGAACGTCTTTTTGTTGCTCTGTGGCTGCGCAGACTACAACTCTGTCGTCATGTCCGTCTGTGAAATGTAAAAAAAATAGGTTGGCGTCTCAAAACACAGTTTGCTTTGAATTTTCCAAACTACATTGTACACACATATCTTCATGTTTGTTCTAACTATTTGCTGGTGTATCAGCACATTATTCATTATGAAATATTTCACGCCAAAATTATTTGTAAAACTAAGAAATACTACTAACTTCACTTTTTTCATAAGAATGCAGACCAAAGGGCAGGTCTGCATTCTTATGAAAAAACATAGTTGTTGCAAGCAGTTTCAAATAAGTCCATTTTCAAAACAAATTCATGCATCCATAGAAGCCAAAGTATTTTTCCAGCACCTCAAGCGGTAAGTCTAGTAGCGACAATCTCTGCCAATGTGAAAGTTATAACTTATAGGTCACTTAGTGTAAAGGCTCATCCCATACTAGCCACAAACCCTTGTACTAAGTACTAGTATTAAGTAGGTCAGCGTTATGAAATCGTAGTTATGTACTAGTAGATGCCATACTTTGTACACTGTACAATTGTAATGCAACTACTTAAGTTATTATCTGTATCTGTATAGCCGGCATAACCGCCTTTCGGCGTAACACACCAGCTTCGCAGGCACGCGGCGCGGCGGCAGCTGGCTATATTACACCGATCGACTTCTTACACCTAACCCTTGAACTTCTAGCTCTAGACTTTGTTTAAAGCTATCTATTGACAATGCCCCTACTGTACTTGGTGACAGTGAGTTCCACTCTGCAATAGTTCTAGGAAAGAATGAATTCTTGAACACCTCAATCCTTGGTTGATAACTCTGATAGTTGAAGGCATGGCTATTTCTTGTTCTCTTCTGGGCTGGTATTAGGTACTGGTACTATCAATATCGTTACTTACCGATAACTCGAATGCTGGAGACTGGCCTCTGCGTCAATGATATAAGACTTTTTTCCCAAAATTTCACAAACGCGTGAGGACTAAAGAAGACGATAGAATCGAAGTAAATCCTGACCTAAAATGGCCGCCTAACACGCATGCGTAGTTGTCTGTTGCTCCACCTGTTGAACAAGTATCCACTTGCGTAGGTCAAAGTTCATTTTAAATTAAACCCGAGTCAGTGAGTTTGACTTATAAACATTGATATAAAAACTTTACAAAAGTTTCTTCCAAAAAGTTGTTTTCAAATGTTAATGTTGTTTGGTAGATGTTGAATTTGACGGATTATAGAGACCATGTTGGATGTATCGGTAAATCTAAAATGGATGTCTTTTTCAAAAGATTTTCTTGAGCAATCATGCACACCTAATCCAATGTAGCCACAGGGAGTCCCTGCCCCTAATTATACACTTCAGTTGTTCTGTAGTCTGTCATCTGTCACTTGTTGGACAAGTATTCGCACCGCATCACTGACTAAGGTTAAAGGTTAATCTACCCACATTACGATATTGTGTACTACAAAATGTAAGCGGCGAATATAGTAAAAGTATATTTAAGAAACTATGTATAGACCATAGTAAATATGACATACTCGTTCCCTTGTTGTAGAAGCAGTATCTAAGAAAATGATTCTAACGTATTGTTTCAAAGGTGTAAAGACTATCATTATAAATCATTAAATAATGAGATAAAACTATTTTTGTGCCGTGGGACTTCTTCAGAAAATGAGAGAACATTGGACCATACTATAACCCATTTTGAGTCCTGTTCCAGTTGAGCACCCCCCTCCCCCCTTATCAGAATCGTAATTGTATCGGTGGTTGTGTCGATGGAACAGGCTTGGGGCATTCCTGGGGCCACATGTCAATCTACGCAAACCGAGTCCCCATTTTGAGTCTTGTTCCTGTTGGGCGCCCCCCTAGGCCTCCCCCTTATCTGAATCGTAATTGCTTGTCACCATGGTATCATCTACGTCATCCACATGCGCTAATAAAGTCTAACAATGCAGAGTGACGTATCGGTGGAACAGGTTTGGGGCAATCCTGAGGCCAAATGTCAATCTACACAAAAACGAGTCCCCATTTTGAGTCTTGTTCCTGTTGGGCGCCCCCCTAGGCCTCCCCCTTATCTGAATCGTAATTGCTTGTCACCATGGTATCATCTACGTCATCCACATGCGCTAATAAAGTCTAACAATGCAGAGTGGAACAGGTTTGGGGCAATCCTGGGGCCAAATGTCAATCTACAGGAGTCCTTATTTTGGTTCTTGTTCCCGTTGAGCGCCCCCTTATTTCTCAGAAGCCGCATCTTATATGGGCAATCTAATAATGCAAAGAGAAGCATTGCTTATTTGCATGGTGGAATTCGAGTTTGGGCATTCGATGGGTCAAATGCCATTCGCAAGGAATGTAAGCATTGCTAAGAACATTTTGCACTTCGAGGGTGCATGATGTCTTGTGTTCAGGAAGGGTTATGAGGAAAGCAAGTGTAGCATGATGCGTTTCTCTCTGTCCCCTTCTCTCTATCACCTCTCTCCCTCTCCTCTCTCTCTTCCCCCATTCCCCCTCCCTATCTCTCTCCTTTCTCTCTCTATATTCCCTTTCTCTCACCCAGGAAATGTTATACCCTAAAGCAACATTTTCTTTCCATGGCATCAGTTAATTCATCAACGTTCCAGATTTTTTCAATACGAACTTTATTTTGAAAAAAAGGAGAAACATGTTCAAGTAGAATTTATCAAAGTGACAAAGTTTACATAAGTCTTCAGTACGAATACTTTATGGCATTATCTGTATGACTGGTTGTAGTAATGTATACATTTTATATCTTTGACTTCCTTTGGTAATACCTTTGTCACTTACCATTGGAGGATCAAAACAACCACAAAAAATTTTGATAAGTTTATAATTTATACGTTTTTATCTTTGAAATCATGCTAAGTCTTATACACAATAATTCACATTCAATTCATTAAAATCTAAATTTTGTCACTTAACGGTAACCATTTAGCCAGTGAGAAGGTTTAAAAAGTCACATTCCAACGTAGAACACTTCCTGTAACTGCTAGATTAAATGAACAACCAATTAGAGTCACACCTATCTACGGTTCTAATATATCAATAGCTAAAACAAGTAGAAAATTTAACTTTCTAAGTCGTAAATTCAGTCTGAGAAGCAGAACGTACCACCCATAAATAACTAGAACCAGCCTATAATACCAAACAAGCAACAATTTCAGTTAGCAACTTTAACATTGAGTTCTGCCTCACAGATATCAGTATGCTATATATATGATATGATTAATTCAACTTACTACATTTAATTTAAAAGAAGGACCAGAAAATTGGCAAGTATATGAAAATCCAATTTTTCCACTCTGAAATTGCATTGGATGTCTTCAAACTTTTGAGCCATTAAAACATCCAGAGCACACTCATTTTACTTAACTGTTAACGGTCTTGGATTTAAACTTTTGAGCCGGTTACATCTAGGGCACACTCATTTTACTTAAACTGTTAACGGTCTTGGATTTAAACTGTTACATCCATGGCCCCACTAGGTCTCCATGTAGGGCCGGGTTTGACCGCGGGTCAATATTCGGCCAGTAGACGGGAACTGCCGTCTCGTTATACGCTGCCAGCCTCCCTAGGAGTCTCTTCACAACCTCGGGGTACTCGGCGGACAGTTCCCGGCGTTCCTGTGGGTCGTCACGGATGTTGTAGAGCCAGAGCTGCTTCCCCCGCACGCCGGTCGACTTCTCTCTGATCTTCTTGTCAAACGACTGGAGCTGCCAGTCGCCGTTTCCTGTGGGGATTAAAACATCAAGTGTTTTGTATGTAATTATGTTTACCGAAGGAAAACATATTGTTTTTACTCAATTTCCTCTTCTCCAAACACTAACCTCTGACCTGGCCAATGACATGATTTGTTGACGTTTGTCACCATGGTGTTGGGTTACATAATTTTGCAAACTTCATGGTCTGCTCTGCTCCTGTCACCATATGCTAGTAGTACATGTATGTGAATATGTTTGAGTAAAAATTAACAGGGCAGACCATGTCCGAAGGTAAACATTATGCATATTTCAATTTCAATATTTATTGTTTTTAACTTTTGATAACTTTTCTTTTAATTTTCAATTTTTACTTTAATTCAAGAATCCAAAACAATACATACACATAACACAGTAATCCAGGAACCCGCTGTATAGTATTGTGCTTGGTTTAAAAAACATAGTTACACATGATGGCAAGCTAACCTGGATTTCCAGTTAATAGTTTCCACTCCCCCACCCGGATAGCTGCTGTCACGGCAGTGTTGAACGTTTTGTGACCAAACACCTTTGAAGCCTCGCTGTTGGTGGACACGATCAATGGGTCGATATTATGTAGAATTTCCTTTCTAGGAGAAGGAGTGCCTTCACTGAAATTAAAATGGGAAGCGGAGAGAGAAAACATTATTACAGGAAATGATATCCTTTAATTTTGGCCGTTATTCAGTAGTGTATGGTTGACAAGTTCTTCCAGTTGCGAGTACAATGTTAAGACTTTATTCTAACACAAAGAGTACACAGGGAGCAAATTTTTAACGACCACTGTCGCCTTCATCAGGATTGATGACCAATCACTTACCAACGTACACTCGCGAGAGTTACGGTAAAAGACACGTGACCTTATTCACGCGAGACTTTACGGATACGTGACGTCAGCAATTGTTTAAACATGCCATGGAGTTTATATCGTCCACCGTAACTCTCGCGAGTTTACGTTCGTAAGTGATTGTTAATTTCTTAATAATAACTACTAACTATGAATCACCAACACAGCCACTACCACCGTAAGCTTTAAAACATACCTGATCGTATCCCAAACGTCGTATCCATCTAGCGGCTTTACTCCGAAGGTTGAACCGCCCGCTAGTCGCACGATAGTCGGGAACCAGTCCGAGATGTGCAGTAAGGCATCGGACGTTCTCTCCTTTTCCTTCAGCAGCGGGCTGTTGACGAATCCAACCCCACGTACACCCCCCTCCCACAGGGTGTTTTTGAAGCCTCGGAGGGGCCAGTTGCTGCCGGCTCTACTCGCACCATTGTCTGTTTGTAAGAAAAACAAATTTGAGTTATATTCTCGTCTTACCATGGAAGGTTATCGTTTAGTACATGTTTATCTTCGCAGAAGGAAAACATATTTGTTTTGGTCGAGTTTCTTCTTCTTTTTCCGTTCCAAACAAATAGTCAATGACCTGGACCAGACGTCTGTCACCATGGCAACTGGTGCTGTAGCAACACCCTGCGGTGTTGGGTTACATTATGTAGCAGAAAAGAGTTGGAGAGCCTGCTCACCATACATATGAGTGTATTCGGCTTTGAATGAGAATAAGTTGTATTAGTTTGTTGGGCTAGACCAAGTAAAGGTAAACGTTATGCCTTCGCTTTCAAAATGCTACCTTTATAGTCACTAGTATGTTAGTAGATAAGTGGGTGGATGGATGTGTATCATAAATGCACCTGTTTGGTACCAAGAATGATATTTTGTGGATAGGCGGGGGAATACGTAGAGATAATATCAGTCATAATCCCCCTAGTGGCTTAGGAATTGTAGTAGGGTCCCCACCATTTTACTTCAGGAAATGTTACAGATGTATTCATGTCATTTTATAGGTTGGACAACAAAAAACAACAAAAGTATAAAACACTGACCAGTAGAGAAGATGAGAACGGTATTTTCCCACATCCCGTTGTCCTTCAGAGCGCGGGTGATGTTTCCGACAGCCTCGTCCATGGCCGTGGTCAGCCCGGCGTACACCTGCAAGTTCCTGGCCCTGATGTGTTTGTACTTGTCGATAAACTCCTGGGGAGCCTCCAAAGGGGCGTGGACAGCTTGGAAAGGCAGGTACAGGAACATCGGCTGTGGCGACAGGGTGCGATAGGAGGAAAATCATATAAGTCTCATAACGTCTCATAGAAATGACATATCAAAACAAAATTAACGTTTTTGTAATCCTTGGTTCCTGCTTTATCTGCCCATTAAGTTACATCGAAACACATTCATATTTGATAATTTACCCCCCCCCCCTTTCCATCAGCAAGTACAGGAACATCGGCTGTGTAAGGAGGAAAGTCATCATGTTAATCTTAAAAAGATCTGTATAATAAATAACATCTGGATGCGAATAAGCTGCTTTCACTACACTTGACTCAATAATAGATAGAGGATTTTGAACATAGGATCATAGTCCAAGAATGCAGTGCTACTTTTTATAGTCAAAGACACAGGCTATATTTTTATTCATTTATTTAGTTAATCGTTTTTTCTGAAGATGCCCAACTAGTAGGAGCCATTATGTATAACCTTCAAGCTAATATTCCGTGTGTATTCACCAGCTATTCGTGTGCTTCAATTGACCAGCTGAAAACCATACCTTCGTTTTGTCATGACGATCAATGAGTTCGATGGATTTTCTGGCAAAGAGGTGAGTAGAGTAGGTTCCATTTTCAGTCAGGCACGGTGACGTCCCGTCCCAGAAATCAAAAGCCCGGTACGTCTCAGGAGTCTCCACTACCTCGTTCGGTATCCTGTGTGTGAAGTAGTCTTCTCCTCCCCCAAGGAAACCTGGAACAAAAGATAAACTTCAGTTTTGCTTC